GAACAGATTAATCATAATCTAAGTTAATTCATGCAGTAAAGCACTGCTGCTTAAGTGTGTTTCAGATATAGTATCTTAATAACACTTTATAGAGGCTAGAGGCAGAGTGGAGGGAATTTCAGACAAAACCAGAGCTGGAGATTTCAGTTTAATTGTACTAAACATAATGTTGTGGAAACTTCAGTCAGAGAAAAATGTCAATTTTGAAATTTAAAAAAAAGAAATAAATTTCTGAATAGAAATGTATAATACACATTTTAGAATTTTGTAGGGCAAGATAAAAACGTAATGAGATGGAGATTTCAGTTGGACATTTTACCCATAGAGATGGAGATTTCAGTTGGACATTATACATATAGAGAAGGAGATTTCAGTTGGACATTATACATATAGAGAAGGAGATTTCAGTTGAACATGATACATATAGAGAAGGAGATTTCAGTTGGACATGATACATATAGAGAAGGAGATTTCAGTCGGATATGATACATAGAGAGAAGGAGATTTCAGTTGGACATGATAAATATAGAGATGAAGATTTCAGTTGGACATTATACATATAGAGAAGGAATTTTCAGTTGGACATGATACTTATAGAGAAGGAGATTTTAGTTGGACATGATACATAGAGATGAAAATTTCAGTTGGATATGATACATGTAGAGATGAAGATTTCAGTTGGACATGATACATATAGCGAAGGAGATTTCAGTTGGACATAATACATATAGAGAAGGAGATTTCAGTTGGACATGATACATATAGAGAAGGAGATTTCAGTTGGACATGATACATATATAGAAGGAGATTTCAGTTGGACATGATACATATATAGAAGGAGATTTCAGTGGGACATGATACATATATAGAAGGAGATTTCAGTGGGACATGATACATATAGAGAAGGAGATTTCAGTTGGACATGATACATTTAGAGAAGGAGATTTCATTTGGACATGATACATAGAGATAAAGATTTCAGTTGGCCATGATACATGTAGAGATGAAGATTTTAGTTGGACATGAGATATATGTTACCACAATGTCAATATAAATAGGTAGAGATATATTTTACCACAAGATGCATATAAAGAGGTAGAGATATATTTAACCACAACATACATATAAAGAGGTAGAGATATATTTTACCACAAGATACATATAAAGTGGTGGAGATATATTTTACCACAAGATGCATATAAAGAGGTAGAGAAAAATTTTCCCACAAGATACTTATAAAGAGGTAGAGATATATTTTACCACAAGATACATATAAAAAGGTAGAGATATATTTTACCACAAGATACATACATATAAAGAGGTAGAGATAAATTTTACCACAAGATACATATATATAAAGAAATAGAGATATATTTAACTACAAGATACAGAAAAAGAGGTAAAGATTTCTTTTCCCACAAGATACATATAAAGAGGTAGAGATATATTTTACCACAAGATATATATAAAGAGGTAGAGATATATTATACCACAAGAAACATATAAAGAGGTAGAGATATATTATACCACAAGAAACATATAAAGAGGTAGAGATATATTTTCCCACAAGAAACATATAAAGAGATAGAGATATATTTTATCACAAGAAACATATAAAGAGATAGAGATATATTTTATCACAAGATTTATATAAAGTGTTAGAGGTTGCTTTTACTAAAAGATACATATACAATTTTTTTTTATGGAGTGAGAATAAGAATTATTTTTTTACCGAATATTTTCTTTAGCTTATTTCTCAAAATTTAATTTTCAAAAAAAAAAAATTTGAATACAAATTTCCAAATTTGATTAAAAATGTTCAATTTTGAATAAAAATTTCCTATATTAAAAAAAATTTTTAATATTGAATTAAAATGTTCTGTGTTTTAACCTGTAGGGAGAAGGGTCGCTAAGAGAGCTATATAAAGATGATTTTGAAGGGCTAGCAGGGGCGTCATATCCCGTATCCTGTGGGGGGCGTGGCTGATGTTGCCCATAGGCTGAAACGCCCCCTAGAGATGATAGTCCAATTGGAAATCTGTAGTCCGGGGCACCAGCCCCCCCTCCCTGCCCATAGAAACCACTTTGCTCAAAATAGGAATTCATATTTAACATTCACAATTTTTTTTCAATTATTCCAACACTGCTGATCTTCACAAATTCTGCATTTTGAACTCACTTTTATTATGTTTAAGGTTGACAACCTAGTATTACAGTAATGGTAAGTATAAGTATACTAGTGGGGTGTAGAGAGTACAAGAGAATACTGTTCACTGATGAATATATATATATATAGTTAGTATAGGTTGCCCTCTAGTGTCTATACACTCACTACAGAAGAACTACATCAAAATTTACTCTATTCAGAGAGAGAGGAATCACCAGTCAGTCTGTTCGAAGAATCGACCAATAGGAATCCAGGATTAGAAGCTCGTATCACTACTTTTTCAGTTGGCTCCGCCTACTTACACAGGAAATAGTTCCTTCTCTCAAAATGGACCTAAAACAGAACGTACAACTATTTTTGCTTGTTTTTTTTGAGTTAAAATGAAAGGTTTGGTTGTTTTTTACATTTTCTATATTAATGAATTTGTTAGAAAAAGTGTATTAGGGGAATTATTTTGAGCTGCATTTCATATTTCGCGGGAAATATTATGCTTAGTGTGGGGCGTATGGCTGGATTAATGCGAGGCCCGACCGCGATCTGGAGGAGGCGCTAGGGTCGATATTCCGTCGGTTTATGTAGACTAGTCGCGGACTCATGGTGACTTTGCGCCAAATTTGCCGCTGAAATTTACAATCCATCTTTGAACCTTTTGGCAGCTCAAAATCGCAATAAAAATCGAGGAAAACAGCCTCAATAACTTTGTTTAAGGTCAGTAAAAGTAAAAAGTTCAATAAAACACCAAAAACGATCACTTTCAGTTTCTTTTCTGCATTTAGGACGGTAGCGTTTATTTTTAAACTTTGTTTTACAAATGCAGGATTTAAACTTTTTTTCTGGAGAAAAATCAGAAGCTTTTTAAATTCATGATTAATTTTGTTAAAAATATTTTTTTATAACACATGTTTACAAATTATTACCTTTGCGATAAAAGATAAATATCTAAATGCAATCAATTCAAACAGTTGTAAATACCACATGCAAACATTTTGTCTCCATTACATTGTATAAATGATGTATTTTTCTAGACAAAGGAAGACACAATATTTAGTGCAAAAATGCACTAAAGCGGTATTTAAAAATTACCACAAATCCTCTAAAACCCTAAACCAAAATTGTTTAAACGCACCAGTAATAAACAAACAAACTTGTAACACAATAAATATATATAAACAAATTAAGAAGTAAACTAGTAAACTAGTAAACTAGTAAACTAGTAAACAAGTAAACTAGTAAACAAGTAAACTAGTAAACTAGTAAACAAGTAAACTAGCAAACAAGTAAACTAGCAAACAAGTAAACTATTAAACAAGTAAACTAGTAAACAAGTAAACTAGTAAACAAGTAAACTAGTAAACAAGTAAACCTGTAAACAAGTAAACTATTAAACAAGTAAACTAGTAAAAAAGTAAACTAGTAAACTAGTAAGTCATTAAATTAGTAAACAAGTAAACTAGTAAACAAGTAAACTAGTAAACAAGTAAACTAGTAAACAAGTAACCTGTAAACAAGTAAACTATTAAACAAGTAAACTAGTAAAAAAGTAAACTAGTAAACTAGTAAGTCATTAAATTAGTAAACTAGTAAACTAGTAAACTAGTAAACAATTAAACTAGTAAACTAGTAAGCTAGTAAACTAAAAAACTAGAAATCTAGTAAACTTGTAAACTAGTTAACTAGTAAACTAGTAAGTCATTAAATTAGTAAACTAGTAAATTAGTAAACTAGTAAACTAGAAAACTAGTAAACAAGAAAACTAGTAAACTAGAAAACTAGTAAACTAGAAAACTAGTAAACTAGTGTTGGATATTTTCAAATATAGCTAGGCTTTTTGGGCGCAGGTATTAAAGATTTTCAAACGAGGGCCGCCGTTACATTAGTTGTGGTTAGGAAGAAAAAGAGCTGGCACTCTAGTTTCTGTGGAAGTAAATATTTCCATTTACTGATAGCGCCGATTGAAGGATTCATTTCTCTAATTGAACAATGAGATAGATAGAAAGATAGATGGTACCGCCATATTATTTCTATTGGTTCAGAATAGACAACAAACACATGACTGAACCCTGATTGGATCAGGCGCTAATGCACTCGGCATACAGGAGTGAAGGGCAGGTTATTAATCGCGATTGTTTATTTTACAAAAATATTGTTTCTTAGGCGCAACTTTTGTAGCATAGGAGGGAGGGGGGAGGTGAAGGGAGCGTTGGGGTAATTATTTTTCACCCCGCCTTTCTGTTACCACCCCTCTATCTTTATTCAAAGATGCTTTTTGAATTCAGAATTTGTTTGGAATGTTGGTGGAAAGGTATTGGCACTAAAACCCCCCGGCCCTATGCACAATTATCTTCGTTGACAACAAAAAATATGAAAAAAAGTAAATTGTAAAGATAAAAGTTTTATTTTTCAAGCAATACAAGATCTTATATGTGATGTTGGTTTAATACCAATAATGACAGAATACTTTATACTATTACACGACAATTAGAATAAGGTACAGATTAGAAAGATGTCTGCACACTGCACAGGGATCATGCATAGATTGCAAGCTCTCACATCGATTCTTGCCCATTAATAAAAACAAATGCTAGAAAGGTCTAGAGAGCTACAAAAAGTTAAAGTTTGCTATTTAAGGTAAAATAAAAAGTCAACCCAGTCTAAAAACTGATACAACATTGCAGTCTCTGGATCTATGTGACATAAGGACATCATCCGAAATGAAGGGAAACTTTTTAAATAACATTTTTTGAAATCCTTGCTTTAAAATTTTCTGGCAATTTAAGATTTAAATTTCTAGTTTACTTTTCTACCGATAACGGCTTACAGAAATCAGGTTTATTATTGTAAAACGCCATTTATGACCAAACTTGAAGTTCGTCTTTTTCATATTGAATATAGTTTCCAAGTTGCCAGGATTTTGGGTTTCATGGAACGGTTTCTGTTTAAAGGATGGAATTTTTATACTAACTGATTGCATTTGCATGTATTAAAAGATTAACATTTAACATTTTTTAAAATAAAAGCTAAAAATCTCAAAGATGCCTTCAATTATATGGGGACTGACCCTCTATATATAAAAGCTAAAAATCCCAAAGATGCCTTCAATTATATGGGGACTGACCCTCTATATATAAAAAAGGGAGCATGTCCGTTTCACAACACGCGGTACCATTTGAAACCCTTCTATAAAAAGTTATGACGAAGATATTCTGAGTTTTCTATCTAAAAACTGATAATTCTCTGTGTAAGTGAATTGCGGATTTATGTGAGAAGGAGAATGAATGAAATGGATAGATTTAAACATTTTGATATAAAAGCGAGAATAGTTTCCAAATTAAAATACTGTTGTGAATCGTGCATGCGACTCTTTAATCTGGCGGGTTACATAAAATTACATCTTTAGCCTCCTTCATTGATAACTTGACCATACATCATCAACATCAAATTATTAAAGCTTGTAAAAAACATATTTTGCTTTTATATTTTCAGTTGTATTTTGTGTCCTTTTAAAATATAAATATAAATATTCAAGCCAAGTTGGAAATATGAGAAAAACATGTTTCTTTGTTTAAAACAAAACTTGAAATATTGATCGAATTGCAAAAATATAAATTTGAGGCAAAATGTTTAGATGAAACCTACCTAAGAATTCAGAGTAAGAAAAATATTTAGTTATGTCGATACTTGTTTGTACGATTCATTTAAGTGCTGAAGAAGCAAATACATTTTGCAGTAGAAGTTTGCGAGTTTTCAAGATCCATTAAAATGTCGTCTTCCTCTTTGAAAATCACGAAACCTTTCCTCGGAGTTCAATCTACCGCCAATTAAATGCTTTCGCATGATAAATACAAATATTGTAATCTCCCATATACAGGGTGTCCCACAAAATATCAGAATGAAGAGACGATTTAAAGATTTTTCATTTTGGAGGATATAACTATTGTAACAATTATCATAAAACGACAGAACCGAAAATCCTTGACCTGGCTGATATATCTATCTAAGTACTCCCCATATTTATCTACAGAGCGTCCCATGTCATATTAGATAATCTCCAATCTTAAACGCCAAAATAAGCACATAATACTCGAAAAATCTAGCATTTTGTGCAAAAGAAATTTTTTATTAACCTTATTAAATTTTTCGAAATGATTCATTCCACTTAAATTTTCTGATTTGTCCCCCTAATCGTAATTTAGACCCAATGGCGCGGTCTAATTTGATGTGGGACACCCTGTATCTTAATTGATGTACTCCCCCTATCTATCATCTATCTAATTGAGTATTCCCCTATATCTATATATCCATCTAACTACTTCTTTTATTTATCTATCTAAGTACTCCTCATATATATCTATCTATCTATCTATATATCTATCTGTCTATCTATCTATCTATCTATCTAAGTACTCCTCTATTTATCTATCAAAGTACTCCTTCATCTATCTATCAAAGTACTTCTTTATCTATCTATCTAAGTACTGCTCCAATCTTTCTATCTAACTATCTAAGTACTCATATATCTATCTATCCATCTAAGTACTTCTTCTTTATATATCTAAGTACTCCTCCTATCTATCTGTCTATCTAAGTACTTGATCCTCCTATCTAAGTACTTCTTCTATCTATTTATCTATCGATCTATCAAAGTACTCCTCCATCTATCTATTCATCTAAGTACGTCTTCTTTGCATATCTAAGTACTCCTCCTATCTATCTATCTAACTAAGTACTTGATCCTCATATCTATCTATTTAAGTACTCCTTCTATCTATTTATCTATCTATTTATCTAAGTACTCCTCCTATCTGTAATCAGTGTAAGAATGGAATAAGTTGGCTCTGTATTCAACCCTTTTATATCTATCCTGGAGCACAGCCAAACCAGAAATCTCCGCTACAAATTCAAGGGATTGTTCGTAAAAATCAGATGTTTTTCGAATAGTTTATATTCCCATTTTTTCTTTTTCAACAAAGTTTAGCAATGTAGAAAAGCAAAACATGTATTCTTTCCTATTTATTAATTATTTGAAGTTCTACACAAGAATAGTGAACCGTCCCTTTGAATTCAAATAAAAATTACCCACCTAAAACCATGGAACCATAAACCTCATTTTTTCCACCAACCAACCCTCTCTCGGTACAAAACCTTTTCGTCAAGGGATAGTTTACCCTGTATTTTAAATTCTGAACTCAAAAACAAATCTAAATCAAAACTAACAATTTAGATTATCATAAAATGCGGTATACTAATCTCTAGAAAGCCTAGATTGATACAAATTATTAAAGAATAATCTAGAAAATCTAGATTATCATAAAATACTCTAGAATATCGAAAGC